CGAAAGCCATGCTTGTTCAACAGAGAGCCAGATACAAGATTCTTTCTCAGCTCCGGAACGTACAACATGTTGTTCAACGTTAGTTCCTTCCCGGAAGTTATCTTCAGAACCACCTTGCCCATGCCTTCCACAGCAGACTGGGCAGAGTTTCCCATCCACACCTTTTCACCCTCAACGGTCTCAAAAGGTGTTGAACATCTCTCGATTGCAACACAAGTGCCTGGTTGCACCGGTATTGATGAACCACTCACAAGGGTTTGAGCTCACGAGGTTCACCTCGGTCACCATAGCCGAAAGGCTAATCTCGACCTCATTCTGACTGCTATCTCCAACAACATTGGCTTCAGAACTCTTGTTCTTCTTCCTTGGAGCCTTGCATTCAGATGCTCTGTGGCCATGCTTGCCACAATTGTAGCATTCACCAGGAAACTTGTTCTTGGTAACGCCACCTTTCGGACCTAGCTTTCGCTTGTCCTTCTTGTTCCTCTTAGAGCTCTTACCGTGCTCCATAACGTTGTCCTTAGTGCCAACAACGATAGGAACTTTCCTATCATTCGTCATGTTCCCTTCCTCAATCCTGAGTCGTTGGATCAGGTCCTCCAGATTCATTTCCTTTCGCTTATGCTTAAGGTAGTTCTTGAAGTCCTTCCAACCTAGAGGCAACAAGTGGATCACAGATCCCACTTGGAAGGCTTCACTCAACACCATGCCCTCGTCACGAATCTCATCGAAGATTAATTGCAAATCTTCTACCTGACTTAGCACGGTCTTTGAATCAACCATTTTGAAGTCGAGGAATCGGCCAACCACAAACTTCTTTGAGCCGGCATCCTCACTTCGGTATTTATTATCCAAAGCTTCCCACAACGCTTTTGATGTGCTTATCTTTCGATATACATCGTATAGCATGTCACACAATCCATTCAGGATGTAGTTTCGGCAAAGGAAGTCTGAATCCTTCCAATAGCCAACTGCCATCACGGATTGTGCATCATGTTCCTTCAACGCAGGAACACTCTCGGACAAGAACCTTGCCTATCCGAGAGTTGCCAGGTAGAACAACATCTTTTGTTGCCACCCCTTGAAGTTCGACCCAACACTGGTGAACTTCTCCGGCTTTTCAGCCGAACCACTCGGTACCGAAGGTACCCGAGACATGAGAATATATCCCTCAGTGCTCCCACCATCTTGTGAACCAACATTCACTGGTGTAGCTTGAGAATTAGCAACATTGTTGCCGTTTCCTCCACTGTTGTCCGCAACAACGTTATTGTTGTCGTTTCTTCCATTGTTGTCCGTAACAACATTATCCTCCCCATCGATTGGCAGTACGGGATGCTCCATTTTCTTCAAGGAAATTCGGAGAAGACCACCAACGGGTAGAGCCGTCGAAACGGTCTCGCGGGACGGGACGGGCCAAAACACACCAAAGCCCGTCCTCGTAGAGGGACGGGCTAAAAAGCCCGCCTCTTAGCGGGCTTCGAATGTTGCCGGCCTGCCCCGCCATGCCAAAGCCCGCTGGCGGGGCGGGCTAATCAATTTTTTCACTGTGTTAATTTAAAAAAAAAAAAAATCATTGTACAATATCCTTAAAAAAAAAAAAGAATCACTGTATAGACGTACAGTAACACTACCTAGTATTGTATTCCTATAAATTTATAATCCTATAAGTTATAACACACTAACACAATTACACAAACCAAAATAACATATATTAAATACTAAATATATATACAAAATATATATGTATTAGCAGGTCGCGGGCTAAACCCGTGACCCGCCTGACCCGCCTCGCCTGGACCCGTGACTCAGGCGGGACGAGCTAAAAAGCCCGCCTCCTGGCGGATCAAAATTTGAAGAACCCGTCCCCTACCTACGGCGGTACGGGACGGGTCGACCCGGCGGGTAAAACCCATTTTGACGGTTCTACCAACGGGAAAACAATGAGTAAGGTTTTAAGACTGTTGGAGCCGTTGGGAGAAAAACAAATAATAATCAAAAATAAGATTATTATTTTCTGGAAAAAATAGGGAAGGAAAGATGGAGAATTTGGCTATTGTTTGGTGTTGGGTTTTTGCAAGAGTCAAGCGATCACTCTTTCCTTAAAACCTTATTTGCCACCTTCCAAAGATGCTAGGAGCGTTTGTGGCCTAGGCTTCCCAGGATAAAACTTACTATGATTCAATGTTTGAGCATTCAAACAAAGAATCCGGCGAGCAAGACAAGGCTATGAACACAGTATGACTAAAGAAATAGTAGAAGCAGAAAGTTTTGAGGCTAAAAAGATGAACTTTCATGTTCTATTTTTCTGTGTATAAAATCTGCTGCCTCTACCCTCTCTTATATAGGGTTGAAGGATTAAATAGCTCTTAATAAGGCACTTTAAGGCACCCCCCACTACACCTGGTAACAGCAACCATTACCATGGGTTACAATTCAAAAATAAAAATTGGAATTAATTCAAAGAATTAATTCCGTAACAGTAAGAATTGAACACCCAACGGTCACAGAAAGCAGTACAGGTTCGTGCACGCCGAAACTTCCAGTTTCGGCCCTAAGTTTCGGCCACAAGGCCGAGACATGGTGCCCACATGGCCGAAACATAAAGTTTCGGCCATAAGCTCGAACTTCCAAGTTCGGCCTTGTTCAGTTTCGGTTCCCAAACCAAAACAAGTTGCAGTGGCATGTTGGAAAAATGATATGATACCGAACCGAATCCCGCAAGGCTAGCCAATTTCCGGACGATATTCGTGCCCGCGCACACGAGCTCGGGCTTGAGTCAAGCCTTTCGATCTCGTTTCTAGTTGGAATTTGATTTGCACCCCCTCCCCCCCCCCCCCTCCCCCCGCGCGAGAGAGCCTCTATGCTATACAATTCTACAAGCTTCAAAAGAGCTCTTGTATACAAGGGGGGAAAATCCTCATTCCAAACTAATGTGGGACAAAGCTCACTTTTCCCTTCATTTTTCCAACTCAATGGGTCTACTTTGAGAATCAATATCTCATTCACCCATTATACGTTTTGAGCGTACAATATATCAATCTCTTCGTCTCACTACGAAGAATCCGAATCCACTTTGACCCGATCCAAATCAGAAGTGGACCCTATTGATAATTGTACCACAAAATAGCCACTTAACATGTCATTTTATGCCAATTTGAGCTATTTTTTTCCAACATTTAAACGGCAACAAATCATGAATTTTGATCGGTAGTGACAAATTTGGACATACTCTTGAAATACATATGAAATATGAGGTTTTACTTTTTTGAATGAACAGTAAAAATATATTGAGATTAGCATTTTGACAAGTTAAACACATAATGAGAGTATAATTTTTCATATTTTAGTTCGCAGTTTTAAAATTTTACAAATTTGTCCCCCATCTCCAAATTCTTTACATTATGGTCTACGAGTCAAATCCATGTAGTCAACCAAGACAAGAGGTAGTGAAGTAGTGTGGCCTCTTACAAAAGTGTCTATTTGTCTCTTAAAAGCTTTGGGTTTGTGTAGTGTTCATTCTGATATGTGTTTAGAGTACTTTGAATAAGGTTGGTTGTATTCAAACCCTATATTCCTTAAAACCTGCATTGTCTCCTTTTAGGACAGAAATGTACATCACATCATCCTTCTCGACAATGAAGCGCTTATAAAATTGTCTATTTGTCTCTTAAAATCTTTGGGTCTATGTAGTGCTCGTTCTGATGTGTTCTTTTGAAGTACTTTGGATAAAGTATGTTATATTCAAATCCTAAATTTACCTTGAAAATTGCATTAATTCCTTTTTAGATAGAAGTGTGCATCATGCCATGTTTCTCGCTTGGTGCGAAAGACCTATCAAACCTGTCAAAGTATCGATTTTGACTAAGGTTTTTTTGAGCGCTCCACATAGAAGCACTCACTTTACTATGCCTTCATGTTTTAAATCACTTTCTTGTATCCATGTGCCGAAAGGTTGCTCAACTTTACTTTATTACTTAAACGATCACCTTCCACCAATGTGAGAGGAATACTTGTTTACATTTTACTACTTTCAAATTACTTTATAATAATCCAATCATGGAATCAAATCCTTGGGTATGACAACAATTTCTTTAATTGATTTTGTTTACTTTTAATTTTTGGTTGTTCCATGCATTGAAAAAAACTATTAAAATATACTAATTCAATCATTTACAATAATTTATTATTAAATTAAGGTAAAAGACTCAAATACACCCTCTAACTTTGTGTAAAAAGTCAATTAAGCTCTCGAACTTTTAAAAGTTACAATTAGACACATTAACATTTTAATTTAGTGCATTAAGACCCAAAACTTTAATTGTGTCCTGCTATACTAGGTCAGCGAAACTCCGACGACATTCTGGCAAAAATTTGGTCGCTTTATCCCACGACGGAGAATGCGGCCTTCTCCGGGCGACAGAGATGGTGACCAGTTTGGTCACCTTTTCCAACAACCAACTAGTCGATCTTTTGCTAGAATGTCGCCGGAGCTCCGCTGACCTGCTATAATAGGTCACAATTAGGGTTTGAGGCTTGATGCACTAAAATTAATATGTTAATATGTCTAATTGTAACTTTTAAAAATTTGGGAGCCTAATTGACTTTTTACACAAAATTATATGGTGTATTTGACCCTTTTCCCATAAATTAAAGAATCACATATACAAATTTGGAAAAATACTACTTATACTTCTAAATTCTACTTTCAAACCAAGTGCCTTGTAGTTCACTAGTATCGAGTTGCTTCCCTAAGTGGGAGGTATAAGGTTTGAACCTTAGTTGAGGCAAATAGTGTGTATATGTAGCCTTCCTTAAAAATAATGAAAAATTCTACTCTCAACTCCTACTCCTTTTTTCCAAAATTTTGATGTTGATATTTATCATTCATTATAATATCAGAAAGTAAAAGTGATAGAGTAGAAAATTAGAAATAGGGAGCGCATATAGTAGAACTCATAAATTTGAGGGTATTTTACAATTAAAGGCAAAAATGTATCTAGAACGAATTTCGCTACTATCACTGGGGATCCTCCGCTCTAGAATCCTAACCCTAAACGAGTATCTAAAGCACTACATATAAAAGCTGCAGTGCTTCCTTTCTTCTAAACGTTTGGGCTGCAATCCTAGCACCGAGGAGGCTAGGAAGCAACGATGGTGTCGCTGAAGCTTCAGAAGCGTCTCGCTGCCAGCGTACTCAAGTGTGGCCGTGGCAAGGTTTGGCTTGACCCCAATGAAGGCAATGAAATCTCCATGGCCAACTCCCGTAAGCTCTCTCTCATTCTCTCTCCGTGTGTCTCCCGTAAACATTTTGCTTTGTTCGATTTTATAGCTGTAATCATGATTCTATGACAATGGATTATTTGAGATAGCATTGATGTGTTGGTCGTGTATGGTGATTCACTCTTTCGATTCATCGTTCAGTACATACGATTGGATAGTCCTGTGGTTAAAGGCATGGCGTTAATTTGATTGATAATCAAGTGGTTAAAAGGCATTTTGTGTTGCATTTTCATCTTTTTAAAAATAAAAATAAATCTTCCATAGATCATTAGACTTGTTTCTTACACAATGCAATTTTAGTCCCACTACTTAAAAGTTGAAAATACCTTTCAAAATCCTCCTAACATTTTATTGGCTTTCTCAAATAGTAGCTGAAGCTCAGACTCAACTTCGATATTCTTAAAATCAACTGACTATGGAGATATGCAGTCCAAACAAATCTGAAATGTTTGATTGAGTTTCCACTTACTATTGATACACTGTAGCTGATCATGATCTGCATCATCATTGGGAGGCAAAATAATCCTATAAATGAAAGTTTATGAATGGGGGAATACCTGCTATCTTTTTCAAAAATATAAAAGTTCAAAAATGAAAACCAGTAACAGTTCCAAAATGATTTTTCTTTGTTTCCCAAATTTCTGAAAGGAAAAACATAAAATTAGAAGTGCATCGTGTTAATAAACAACTGTAAAAGGTGCTGGGGTACAGGGTGCCATCTAGGCACTGCCTAGGCTAGCGCCTAAGTTCCTTCATTTATGTGTGCTAGTGTGTGTGTGTGTATGTGTATATTCCTTCATTTATAATAATTTAAAAAACATTTTAGCAATGCTAAAATAAAGCATTATAGCCTGACCCAAGCTCAACCCTGGCTTAAAGCCAAAACCTAAAAGTCCAACCCTAATTCAAAGCCTCAAAGTCACATAAGTACTCAAGCTAGCATTGATAAAGCATTAATTAAAGTGAGAAATTGTAAAATCTCATACCAGCGACTCCATTTTTCTAAATGGGGAGTGGGTGACATGTGATGAGTGATGGGTGACAGCATCTCGTCGGTGTCAATCGGCTGGGGCTGACGGTGATTGTAATGAATTGAGCGGCAGGTGACGGGTGACAGATGATGGATGGTCCTTTGTCTGAGACGTCGATTGGAACGCTAGGGTAACTGTGCAAGTTGTAATTGCAAAAGATTTAGGTTTGCCTTTCTTTTGTAAATTCCTTTTTTATTTGTGGTGATTTCCTTAGATTTAGGTTTGTGTCGCGATGTTTTGAGCAAAACTATCCAATTTAAACAAAAATAATAATTGGCTGATTAGCCGGCCTAGTCGGCTAGCTAATCGGCCAGCCACCTACTGAGCACATAATACCTAAATCCCATCAGCATAGGGGCGCCTTGGCCGATTTTTACAACACTTATTATCATTCTCCAGATTTTGAAGAGTTATTATTAGCTTAAAAAGATTGTGTTGCATGAAACTTATAATAATGTACTATTAATTAGTAAAATAATTATAATCCAGTATGCAATCAAGTGCCTATCCTTGCTTTTGAACTTGGAATTTTCCCATTAAGTTTTGTTGTTTTTCTGTTAACCTTGAACTTGTGACATAATGACCATTGGGTGAGCACTTAACTCTATATCAAGCTCTAACCTCATAATACTATTTCAAGCTCTTCCTCCATTTCCTTACAAAAATCATCTGATAAAAATGCTTCTACTTCTCCTCAAATGAATATAAGTTGCTAAATGTGGTTTATTAGGATTTTGAAGCGCTTAAGTAATACAGAGTATGTTTTTCTCTTATTTTAAATTAACATGGTGGTTAGTTACGTTTCAGATTGGTCTGCTCTTTGCCTTGATAACCATTGCTCTCCTTCCTGTTGCCTTTATGTGGAACTTTTGGGTATGGACTGATGAGTCATTGATGCTGGATTTCTGATTGCAGGGCAAAACATTAGGAAACTGGTCAAAGATGGTTTCATTATCAGGAAACCAACTAAGATCCACTCTAGGTCTCGTGCACGTAGAATGAAGGAGGCAAAAAGAAAGGGGCGCCACTCTGGTTATGGTATTGTTTTTCTACTCTTTCGTCTTCTAAAAGTTAGTAATTAATAGGTAGAGTTAGTGTACAGTAAGTTTTTATTGCCTGAAGGGTTTCTGTACTTGTAAATAAACGATTCAGTGAAAAGGTTTTCATGACTTGTTACTTGTTCTTTTACCTTTGTACTTTTCTATTGACCATTTTCTACTTATTTTCATTGGAATTACACATAGTAGTCTGCATTAAAACTCTATCTTTCTTTCAAAAACGCAATATGTATTCAAAGTAACAGTGGGAAAGTCCATATTATTATGCATTCTCAAAGTTTGATTAGTAAGGCAGTCTAGCTTTATAGTTGGTGGTTTCACAAAGTTGTTTGAAACTAGCACACCTTGTTTCTTCTTTCTTGAAGTTTTATCTCATAACTCCCATAAGACATTCCCATTATGCTCTTTGTATGGACATGATCAGGTAAGCGCAAAGGTACCAGGGAGGCAAGATTGCCAACAAAAATCCTCTGGATGAGGAGAATGCGTGTGCTAAGGCGCTTGCTCCGAAAGTACAGAGAATCAAAGAAAATTGATAAGCACATGTACCATGATATGTACATGAAAGTTAAAGGAAATGTCTTTAAGAACAAGAGGGTGCTTATGGAGAGTATCCACAAATCAAAGGCAGAAAAGGCAAGAGAGAAGACATTGTCTGACCAGTTTGAGGCCAAGCGTGCTAAAAACAAGGCAAGCAGAGAAAGGAAGTTTGCTCGGAGGGAGGAGCGCTTGAATCAGGTAAAGATATCTTTTATCTCATTGAGGAAGAGTGGTTCAATATTTAAATCACTATATATTAATCGGATAAACAGTAATCATCCCGTTTAAAAGTATAAAAACACTGATTAAAATTGACTATTTTTGAAACATCCAAATATTATGAGAATGTATTTATTACTTTTGTGATGTTATTCAGGGACCCGGTGAGAGGTCTGCCGCTGCTGCAGTTCCACCTGCAACTAAACCAGCCGAGTAAGTTGGGAGCTATATCCTCTAAATACTTGTATCATGCAATCCAACTTATTCTTGTATCATACTAGCCAACTTAATTGTCCTTTCCACCTTGGTTCTTTCAGTGCTGGCAAGAAGTCCAAGAAGTGAATGATTAGACATCTCTTGGCAAGGTGATGTTGAGACATTGTTCCGCCAGACATCATATTTACTGTTTTTTGGTCAATTTTGTTGTTAAAACACTGGTTGAATGTTTCTGTTATTGTAATACATACTTTGTGTCACCTAATGTGCTTCATTATCTTTGTGGTTTTTGTCTTCACTAGAAGATAACAGTAAAGTTTTGCCTGACAGAATGTCAGTTAGATTAATTCTAAGGAAAAGGATCACATAAGACCTCAAACTTTACCCAAAATGCAATTGAGCCCTCTAATATTAAAATAGTTCAATTAAACACTCAAACTTGTTAAAATTGATCAAATAAACCATGTTTACTGGTAACCAATAGGTTACCTGTTATTCACTGCCCAGAAAGCTGCCACCTTTGCTGGAAATATCACCGATTCACCGCCTATCGTTCTTCTCTATTGCCAATTGTTCTTCCCCATTGTTATTCATTCTTTTCCATTGCTTGTTGTTGAGCGCCGCGTGTACTAGAAGCTTTGAATCATTTTCGATCTCCCTCTTGTGCTTTGATAGAGACATGGAACATAGCTCTGGATACACAATAGTTATGCTGTGCAACCGAATGTACCATGCGCATGGTGCATACGGTTCAAAACGACGTCGTTTTGATTAAAAACGCGCGTCCCACTTAAAAAAAAAAAATCAGGTTCGACTCTCAGCAATAGCATTATTGTGGATATATAGTTATGAAATTGTGGTTATATAGTTATGAATTTATGGATATTTAGTTCATTCATTGTGGATATTTAGTTCAATCATATATTATGGATATTTAGTTCATTCATTGTGGATTTTTACTTCATTCATTCATTCATTGTGAATTTTTACTTCATTCATTCATTGTGGATTTTTACTTCATTCATTCACTGTGGATATATAGTTATGAAATTGTGGATATATAGTTATGAAATTGTGATTATATAGTTATGAATTTATGGATATTTAGTTCATTCATTGTGGATATTTAGTTCAATCATATATTGTGGATATTTAGTTCATTCATTGTGGATTTTTACTTCATTCATTCATTCATTGTGGATTTTTACTTCATTCATTCACTGTGGATATATAGTTATGAAATTGTGGTTATATAGTTATGAATTTCTGGATATATAAAAATGCTATTGCCGGGAATCGAACCTGATTTCTTCTTTAAGTGGGACGCGCGTTTTTTTAACCAAAACAGCGCCGTTTTGCAACCGTATGCACCTTGCAAGGTGCATTCGGTTGCACAGCATAATTTGCGCTGGATACAATGGTCCCTTGCATGATGTTTTAATGAACTCCGGATACAATGGTCCCTTGCATGATGTTTTAATGAACTCCGTCGTTTTCTTCCCTGTTATATCCCTCGTCGGTGGCATCGGATGTGCGGCGGCTGTCGGTGGCATCGGATGTGCGGCGGCTGTTAAGATTAGTACGGTTGTCTTATGGAGAAGATGACCAATTCGGTCCAATAGAGAAGACGAGTAGAACGTCGGTAGCATGAAGTTCAACCGTTGCCGAAATATTGGACGGAAAATTAATGACCGATTGTTTCAGGTGAACAACAGGTCATTTGGGTTTAAATGTATCAAAATAACGAGTTTGAGTGTTTAATTGAACTTCTTTATTGTTAGAGAACTTAATTGCACTTTTGAGTAAAGTTTGAGGGCTTATTTAACTATATTTTCCCTTAATTCTATTTATTTTTCTTGATCGTTCAAGAGCAAATAATAGCTCCTTTACCTGCTGACTTATATGGACATGATAGATTTCTTAACAAAATTTCCAAATAGTATTTTTATTATGAAAATTTTCAATTTATAATTGGATTGGATTTGGGTGAATTTCAATTTTTTTTTATCGTGCTGACATAACATATTTGGAAATTATCATTTTCCTCTAATAAAATTAAGATGTGGGAGTTTACTTATTATTTTTCGTGTCTATAGTCATCAGGGGAAACAGAGCCTCAAATACCTTCTGAGCTTTAATTCAAATGACAAAATCTAAACAATATGGATCAATTGTGCATAGGAAACAAAAGATAGACCTTTTTTTCATGATATAATTTGCCCAATTGTTATATACTTTGAAACCAAAATTCTCTAGTGTTTAAAACGAACAAATTGACTACAAATTTGTTTTAACCTCTCAAGCTTCATCCATAATGCCTTGAAGTCTCAATACTGTTGCTCATAACAGATGATAAATGTTGTTAATTAAGATAGAAAATGACGTACATATCAATTACTTTTACTCACCGTTTGGTTGGACGTAATTAAATTGCAATTATAACATAATTCGTTAAGCTCTTCAATTACGTTGTTTCTTTAGCAGGTCGTTTTTCATCTATTTTTATTGTCGGATAATCGTTGGAATTTTAATTACTTGGTATTGCAGGTCACTAACAAGTAATTGGATCTTGATGAATTTAATTTCATGTTTATATAATTAATTACAACTTTAAAAAGTTTGAGGACTTAAATTGACTTTTTAGGTAAAGTTCGAGAGCTTATTCAACCATTTTCCCTATTAAATATAAATAAATAAATAAAAGAGTTAATTTTATTTTTGGTCCTAGATTTATAGATGGCAATCCACTTTAAGTCCATTTTTATTAGAACATCCACTTTTAGTCATAGTATTATTGTGACCTGACCATTTTTGGTCCTTTATCAACAAAACATTTTAAATATTGTTAAATACAAGGACATTTCGGTCTTCAATTATGATTTTTTTCAAAAAAAGTAAACATAAAAAAATATAGCAGTTCAATCCACTTTGTATAAAAAAAAATATTGAAATGTCTTTGTATTTAACAATATTTCAACGATTTTGTTAAAAGACTAAAATTGGTCATACCACAATAATAATACTAAGATTAAATGAGGATGTTATCTAACAACATAATAAGTTCCAATCCAGTTTATGTCCCTTGTTTTATGTCCGTTTTTTCTGTTAACTTTTTTTTTTTTGTATCTTATGTTATAAATGTTGTACTACATAATTTTTTAGACAAAAATATCATTCTGTTATCTTTTCACATTAATATTACCATGCACATTCATACACAGTATTTTTTTCTTACATTTTTCAATGGTAAATTTAATTTTATTTAAATTTTAATTAAATATTAAATATATTATCATAGTTATATTTAGTAATATTTTTTTTGAAAGCCACCTCAGTGAAGAATATATTAAATCATGGAAAGGTCCAGGAAAAGAGGGGGGACATCCCTCCAAACAGACTGAACTGAAGACGCACTAACATGTTTAGGTAAAGAATGAGCAGCCAGATTAGCATTTCTACTAATACATGTGAGCTGACATGATGAAAAAGAGCCAATTAACTGACGACAAGAAAGAAGAACTAAACCAACATAAGATCTAAGCAAGTGCGCATGATTGAGACTTGAGCATAGATTCAAGCAATCCAAGAGAACCGTTACGTTTGAGTATCCATTATTCTTTAGTCATGACAGAGCTTCGCGAATTGCCATAGCTTCAGCTAACAGTGGGTCATGGTGACAAATTGACAATGTGGTGAAGGGTCATTTGCAGCTGCGAGAAACACGCCGTCCGAGGAAGAAACAACGAAGCTGTACGTAGCTCTATGATTGGCTCCTTGAAAACTGGCATCAACCTTACACTGAACCCCAAAAGAGGGCTATTGTTCAGGTAATATATCATTTCTATAATTCTTACTGCATTAATATTAATATGAATTCTACAATTAAATATATATAATTAAAATTTTAACATTAAGTATTAATATTGAACACATATTTTTTCACATTGTAAATATGAAATATACTAGTATAATAAAAAAGGATTAAAAATGACCAAAAATAGAATTAACTCATAAATAAAACCTCACCCTTGTTTTCAAAGAAAAAGAAAAGAAAACCTAAACCCTAAACCCTCTTTAGATCCCCTCCATTGTTGGAAGTTAGGAATTACATTTGTTCTCTTCAAAAAAAGGAATTACATTTGTGACTACCCTATGGCTAGGCGCACGTTAGCCTCCTGCCTCTCTCGTGCTCTCTCCTCATCGCCGTCATCCGCTTCTCGCCAACGCGTCGTCGTCCCTCTTCTCCTCAACTACCATCATCAGCTTCAGGCGCAGCATTTTGTCCAGACCCGCGCCAAGACAACCGGACCCGGTTATTCACCCCTGAACGATCCATCGCCCAACTGGAGCAACCGGCCCCCCAAAGAGACAATTCTACTCGATGGCTGCGACTACGAGCATTGGCTCATCGTCATGGAGTTCCCCGACCCGAAACCCTCTGAGGAGGATATGATTAATGCTTATGTCAAAACCCTAACTTCTGTAGTTGGAAGGTATTCACTTTATTTCCGAGCTAATACCTAATTTATTCTTTTTTTTTTTTGTTTGTTTGTTTTTTAAAATTTAGTTCTAAATAAGTTTTTGTGCTTAATTAGGTCATGCACTTTTATGATTTTACTCAGTCTTATGTTAAGATGACATGGTAATATCAACTTTATTAATACCCAATTTAGTCTATTAGCTATAGTAATTTTACCCAAGTTAGTCTTCAACTATATTGATTTTACCCAATTTAGTGATGGACTATAGTGATTTTCCTCGATTTGATTCTTGATTCTATCAGCCTAGAGGACTCAATGTGGTAAACCATTGTAGTTAAAAGACCAAATTAAACACCAGTATAATCAACGACTAAATTGGGTATTAGCTCCTTTATTACCCTTGCATCTCAATTCTTTCTTTTTCATTTTCAAAATAAGCTAAGGGTATATGCTCACACACGCACGCACCCTTTTATCAGCTATTCTATTGAATTGAATAGTTGATGAAAATCATGAAATGGCAATCCGGAACTAGTTCCCTCAATAAGCACCTTGATCTATTTTGCAAACTAAGTTAATCATAGGCGTTGAGTACCTAATGATCTATTAAGATAGTAATTGCATTTGTTTCTGGTACTGTATAATTTGAGTTTTTTAAGATGTATGTGCAGTTTTTTTTTTTTTTTTTTTTTGACAAAACTCCATCCTTTTGTATTTATTTATATATTTTTCCTGATTGTTTGTGTACTTCAAAAGCCAGTTTTTAGGATTCACTGGACTCAATTTACTGGGTCTGGATCCTCTCCAGTCCTTCAACTTCCAGACTGGTTCAAATTGTTGCCTAAAAGAAGCCACATCTTTCCGAAAGAAAAATCTAATGATTGGTTCTTTCTTCCATTGTTAACAGAAAGAAAACTTTCCAGTCACTTGACTCCATGTTCAAGCTTCATCAATCTACAATATGTATTTTCAACCTTCATCAGTTGTGAGATTATATGAATTGATAACGATTATCAAATAGATCAATTATTTTGAAAGTGATTCTTAAAGGAGGCGAAAAACTAACATAAGATAATATAAAATTCATAGCGCTAATAACAGCAATTTTATTTCCTTTTCCTTCTTTCAAGTGCATAGATTACTGAAGTTGAGTTCTTGGTGAACCAGATCCATAGAAGAGACGTGATTTTGTAGCCCTTTTAGCATAATAGTCAGGTCTTTGTAGCATGGTTGAAAAAATCGCTAGGCACTCCTCCCGTGTATTTTGTATTTTGTATTTTTATTTTTTAAATTTTAAATTTTTTAAGACTTGATAATTATAAACTATTTAATACTTTAATAGTTAATACTAAAATATTAAATATTAACCTTAAAAAATCTAGAGTTTGAACAATTTAGGGTTATTTTGACATCGTTTTGAGTGAAATCCATTTAAAAAAGAAGGGAACAATAGCTAATTGGTTGACTAGGCGACCTAGTCAGTGCCTAGGAGGCCTAGGCAGCCGCCTAGCCGGCCAGCCACCTAAACCACCGATTATGGTGATACGCTAGGCGGTCGGCCAGCGCCTAGCGCCTAGGCGGGATTTTTGCAACACTACTTTGTAACTCTGTGTTCTTTATGTCTCCCACTATGGATTTTGCTAATTTTGCCCTGCAAGGTGCCTTTTTAGGAGAATGGAATCAATTATGATGATGGGAATCTAAGAATTTTGGTTGAATGGAAACAATTGCGGAGGAAAGCTTTTTTTTTTTTAGAGATATGTCTGGTTCTGTATGTTGATGTTTAGTGGTTGTTTCTTGATATGCAGTGAAGAGGAGGCTAAGAAAAAGATTTACTCTGTCTGTACGACCACATATACTGGCTTTGGTGCTTTGATTTCTGAAGAGCTTTCCTACAAAGTAAAAGGTATGCATCTTCTTGAATTTGTAGCTATATTGAGATCATTTGTATTTCAGGGTTTCAAATTTACTTCTCCAACTACTTCTGTTGCATCTTCAAGCTTTCTTTATTTATTTATTTCAATTCATTGATCTTATGAATTATATTTGCTCTGTTCTTTTATAACTTGCTGTTCAGGCTTTTACGTTTTAAGCATCAATATTTTAGTTTTTCCTTAGGTTAATCCTTCTGGTCACCTGAACTTAACTACAACTCTACAAGGTTATAGATTGTTTCAAGACATATGCCCGCCAAATCATAGGTATTAGGAGTAGTTCAAACTGTTTTTAGGAACTGACTTCTCAGACAAGCTATTTAAGTGCAAACTTAATGCCATTATTGTTAAGGAATCCATTACTCATCCTTAAAATGGCAGGAGTTGGGGTTTAATTCATATGTTCTAGGAATCTTCGGTTTTATATTTGCAATTAGATCTTACTGTATACCGGTTTCATATGTTTAATGACTAATCTGGACTTTGCTTGTGTTAAATAGGTCTACCTGGTGTCTTATGGGTCTTGCCAGATTCATATCTTGATGTTCCTAATAAGGACTATGGAGGTTTGACTTATCGAAACTCTACTTTTAACTAATAACCAAGCATTTCTTCCCTTGAAATTTGTGTGGTCATCAGTTTATTGTTTTCATGGATTCTCATTTAGGGGATTTGTACGAAAATGGGAAAGTCACCCATCGGCCACAATACAGATTCACTGAGAGGCAAAATAATACGCCCCGGTCCCGACCACGATATGATAGACGTAGAGAAACAATGCAGGTCAATAGACCTGTGCAAGGAAATACTCGGGCATCTAACTAGCAAGCTCACAGCAGTCGAGCCCTGTGGCTGTGGGTGAACAGAGTGGTGGAGGTTCCAATCTTAATCCTGGACAATCTCGTGGGAACAATGCCTAAAAGTATGTTTTTTCTCGCCCCAAAACCAAATCCAATACCCCTTGCTCCTAAATATAATCAGTATTGCTGTTTCTTTGCACATGATAAGTAGTAACTTTGATGTTCTTGCATTGCCAATTATATGTAGTTGTAAAACTTTTGGTGTCATTTGAATGTCCCTTGGATCTCTTGTGACAAACACTCTTCCTAACTCATAATTTATATATGGAACTTTGTGGTGAGGTTTATAAGTTTATTGTCCCCAGTTGTGATGAACTGTGAAGGGAAATGTTAATGCGTTTACTAGAATTCTTTTTCTAAAGAATGGAATATATAGCGTTGAGTATATAATATACAAACATAAATGTGAAATCCAATTATCAACTTAAAATTTTAGTGAGATTGAACATATGTTTCAATTTGGTATGAAGAGCTTATTTAATTTTTATTTTTTTATTTTTTAAAAAGAGGTAACCTACCCACATATGTGCAGGGTGTGTTGATTATAATATAATATACAAATATAAATGTGCAATCTAACTATCAACTTAAATTTTTGTTAAGATGAATCACATGCTCCAATTTATAGAATATAAGTATTTTTAATTTAAAAACTAAAAAATTGAGAATTTAAAATTAAAGAAAGACAAATAGAGAAATAAACTAATATCAGGAATTACATATATAAAATGAATTTGTGCAGCGGCTGGGGTATAATTTCTCTATTTGCATAGTTTAATCAATAAACTCCAAATAGTAAATACCCAAAATGGTCCCTCGACTATAGTTAAATTTACAAATTGGTTCTCGATTTTCAATTTCAACCAATTAAAGC